GTAATGTAATTGAATTTCCTGAGCTGTTTGTAGTTGCAGTTTGAAACACAGCATTGAATTTTTCAATCATGAAGCACTAAGACAAGTTATTTTTTTTTTAGGAATCTTGTTTTATGTGTAAACACTTATTGCAGTGAGTGCAATTTAGAGCAGTGTGTCTACTGCATCTACAGAAAATGTGCTTTTGAATTACTTTCCATCTCTCTCTGGCTTTAATCAAGGAAAAACTTCGGCTTACAGTGTAATACTTTGGGGAGTGTTTAAAAACTTGGAAGAGTAAAACCAGAGCCATATAATGGAAGTGTCTTCATGGTATTAGTTTTGGATTCTCTTGGATAGTTGCATAATAAACTTTCTTTCACTTATAAGTGTTTTTTATTCTCAATGTTTAGGGGCACTTAGTTGAAAGCTGACTCTTGTTCTAATTAAATTCTTAAACAGCTTTTTTTAAAAAAAAGGCATAATCAAGGACATAAGTAGAAGCAGAACAAAAATAATGACTTCTAGTTTTGCTTTTTTAATTGTTTTCATTAATCATGCTTAAGATAGTTATTGTTACCCATCTGTAGACTGTTTTTGTTTGTGGGTTAGCCTTGTTTAAAGATTCTAGTCCAATATAGCTTTATTTTCAATTTTTTGTTCATTTAGATATCGCTGCAAAGTATCTTGAAGTTTGCTCTATGCAAAATGCTTTCTGGTCTATTTATGGGTTTATTTGTTTATTTGGGTTTTTTTGTTTGGTTTTAACCCAAGAAGAGCTAATACCTCTACAAACAGTCTCAGGGCTCATCTGGAACTGCCACAAATGGAGTTAAGGGAAGACAAATCATGTTGTTTGAAGTAAATGTAAACATATATTGCTAATCAGGTACAATGCCAGAAATTCATATGGCCCTATCATTTAAGAATGAACATAATCCTCTTCTTCCAATACTTGTGTTTTGACCCGTGCAACTATTTGGGATATGAGTCATGTTGCCTATTTTTTACTGATTTTGTTGTTGTTATAGCATTGTTCAAATGCCAGTGCTACTGGCAAACTAGGGCTTACTTACCAAACTAGGACTCCTTGAATTGTCTTGTTTGTTAAGATGAGTTGGTGCAGTGTAAAGAGGGCAAATCAGCTTGTTAGTTGTGGTTTTACATAAACTATTTTAAAAATTTTGCTCAGTTTTTCAGGTGGAGACAAAAAGAGTTAGTGGGAATGGCATGACATTTGATATGGATTGAATCAGTATTTTTAATAAAACTGCAAGTATAAGTCAGTTCTTCTATCTGGTGTAGTGTTTCTTGGGCTTCTTACGTGGTATTGTTTCGTGCAATTTAGGAAAACGATGGCCTCAAAATCTCCATATTGCATAAGGGAGGGAAACACAGATTGTAAACAAGGAAGGGAACTAGAAAGTCCCTGGAGCTGTGTGATTTCTTGTATATATTCCAAATTATGTTCTAGGCGTCTGGTTTGTTCTTGGAGATCTGTCTGTGGATGTCAGAACCAGATTTTATTGTTTTATCAATGAAGTGATAAAATTATCTGCAAAAGGAGAGGCTGTGTAGTTCATAGTCCTTGGCAAGATGATCTTTGGCTGTTTGAAGTGGGCACTTTTGCTCTTTTGAGCTTCTGAAAAGCATAAGGGGTCTTGGTAAGGCAGTTTGCTTCAAAATTAAGCTGTATAAAATATGAGGGTAACCAACTTGTAGAAAATCCTTCGAGGAAATAGCCTGTGTTGTGACTGCAGCCTTCATTAGGATCACTGTCAGCAAAGATAAAGCATTTGGGCTGTAGTGCTGCATACACTGTTTCCCTGCCTGTCTGATCATCTGATTGCTCTTGGAGAACCTACCCACACATGCAAAAGTGGGAATGCTAAATTATTGCTAATATTTATTAAATGAAGCTTAAATTACTAACATTTATTAAATGCAATAAACAGTTCTTTTGAATTTTTTAGTATGTTGCTGGTGTTAAAAATTGAGATGCTGCACTTTGGAATAGCTGCAATGGCATTGTTAGTGCTGGACATGCTGCTTAAGAAGAGACATTTTGAAAATTTTGGCTTACAAGATAGGTAGGCCCCTGGCCAGAGCTGGGGAAGTTGAGTGTAATAATCTGTTTCCTCTTATTTTCTAGAGACAAGTTTGCTTGTGGTTTTGCAGGACAGTGGCATGCCTCATTGTTCACCACAATTTTTTTTTTGTTGTGTTTTTATTCCCATGCATGTTCTTTTAATACGAAGTATACAGCCCTGGCCCATCAGGTCTCTGTGGATCATGGCTGTTTCACAGTCAATATGTTCTAGAAGTCTTAAAACTTGACAAAGGGACTTGCACATGCCAGTAGTTTTGGTGTCCTTTTTTTCCTCTGGTCTCTTACAGGGAGTTTTATAAATACATTCTCTCTGTGGAATCAGATTGCAAAGTTAGTGACAGCTTTAATATTTCACTTCATATTGCCTCTTTCTTCATCAGTGACATGAGATCCCTTTGGGCAACAAAATTATCTGAAATTATTTGTATATTTGTATCTTTTGGATACCTCTCCCATTGTAAATATCATTTAGAGATTGCAGCTTTGTTGTTTTTTTCCCTTTTAAACACTGATGGAGCTGTTTACACTGATTCTCTGCACATGCATTAGGAAAGGCTTTTAGTGTTGGACTCGGCACACAACCACAAAGTTCTTTGCAGTGGTAATAGATTAGTCTGAGAGCTGAAGGCCACGTGAAAACGTTTTTCCCCCATGAAAAATGGAATAGCATGAAGGTAGTATTGCAATATTTGTCTTTGTATCAAAGCCAGCTGTGCTCCCAGCATGGTGGTACCAGAATCTCCACAAAATTAATAGCAACAAAAATGAGGAGGGGGCACATTAATAAATGGGGCCATCATTTCTGTAAAATGCTGAAGTTTTAAACTGGAATGGTGAGCCATTGCATAATACATAAAATATCTAGACATCTTTTTTATATGGCATATCGAATATTCTTTCTATTCCTCTTCTCGCCCTACCTTTTTGTCAGTGTTTTCAGGAGGTCATGTGCCACTACGAGGTATCACCAGTTTGCAGCTTCACTTCGGTTTTTTAGAGGTTCAGCATCTGTAAAAGTGACAACTACAAGTGAACCTACATTACTCCAATACTGGGAATTCTTCAGGCTTCTTCAAGGATGGCTGGTACAGAGGAAGTAAAAGGCTTGGGTTTAGGCTGTGTAATGCTCTTTCCAAAACTGTAAACAGCCCAGCATGTTGTCCTGAAATGCTCTGAAGGGAGAAAACGCTTAAGGAAAGAAAGCTGCCAATTACAGAAAAAATTCTTGACTCTCCATTTTCAGAATTTTCTGTGGTGCTCTGGATTACATTCAGGGCCTCAGCTAATCTTGCAGCTGTTGTTCACTTTTGGTCATCACGATTAAACCAGCCAACCAAATCTCCCTTCCTCCCCCTTAAAACAAATAAACAAAACAAAACTAACTCAACAACAAGAAGAAAACAGAACAATACCAACCCTTAGGTGGTCAGCTGTTTATCAGTTGTGATAGTTGTGGGTATTTGTAATAGACACTGCTACTGAATCAGTCCACCACTTGCCTGAACAGGTTTGATCCGGTGAGCTGCAAGTTTTATTTTTGCTGAGTCCCAAGAAGTATTTTCAAACCCCCTGTATTTAATTTAAACTTTGTTAGTCAGATGGCTAATGAGTAGCTGTAAATATTGCTGGTACTTCAGTGGTTTATCTGCTAAGGGTATTTAATAACATGCTGTCATTGTTCAGCTTATATTTGTGCAAAATGTTTGGAGTTGGTGGATATCTTTTCTAGGTTAGAGAAAAAATTGGCTCCTTTAACACCCTCACAAAAAAACCCCTATACAAACCAAAAACCTAAAAAACCAAAACCCCTACACCAAAACAAACTGAAGCTGAATGTTCCTATAGAAAGGTTGAAGGCTTCCTGCTAAAATGAGCCAAGATAATGCCAGATAATGCCACTGCATGCCAGTGCTACACTGCATCTGTTTCTTCATTTGAAGGCTCTGAGTTTCTTTGCCTGAAGTGTTGCTGAATGTGTCATCAGCCAGTGGAGCAGTTACTGTGTTCAGGCTAATTCAGACAAAGGCTAAAGTTTGGCCCCCAAAGGAACCGAGCTAACACTGAAATCTCAACATCACTCAAGAATACATTCAGTGTTTTCTGAAGAGATCCCAGCTTTTTAAAATGTTTAACAGGTTAGCAGGGTGCTATGAAGGCATTAGAGCCCTGGGTGTTTCCTTTTTTACTTTTAAGATGGGATAAAGACATGAGTCAGAAGAAGCTGAAAAAATGAGGTACAGTCCCTGAGGGAAAAACATGAAGTTCAAACACTCAGGCTCACATATGAAGTGTTTGTTATAGCCAAATTAGTTGAATAAATTAGGATACACATGCAGAGATTTAGATAAGGTGTCTTAAGGTATGTATACTTGGTTTTATATGGTGGAGATGACTTGGTGCTTCAATAAGGTGCATACTAGAACTACATTGACTGCAGTTGTAGGAGCTATTTCCCCCTTTATTTTACAATGTAACTCGTCCATGGCATAAATAAAGTAGTTTGTTAAACCTCTTGATTTCCTTGTTGCTATTGTACTTTAGGGAGCATTAGTTCTGCTAGGGCTGAAATGTTACTAGGTTGTCAGAGCTTGTTCTTTCTCATAAGTGATTGTTATTCTATTTGTAGATTACCATGATCTCAAGTTATATATGTGGTTTATCCTTCACAGCTATCAAAAGGCTATTCCAAAGTTTAAATCTTTTCGAACTTCCAACTTACTCCAGCTGCAGAACCAGTCTTCCATTGGTGTTCTGTTTATATGTTTATTCTTGGGTTGTTGTAATCCAAATTCCTTGAATACACCCATGTAGAATATTCAGCTACTGATTTCTTAATTTTCCTAGATTAAGAGTTAAACTAGATGTGCAATTTCTTCCTGTAAAGTAGACTTTCTGTTACCTGTTGTTCTGACCTGCCATCTGAATCCAGTAATTTCTGAACATGGGTGCCTGGGGCTGTTTGCAGAATCTGGATCAGGATTATTAGCATTTAACTAAAGAAGATTTTTAGTTTAGGGATTCCTGTATTATACTGTGCTTTTGGATATATCTGTTCCAGTTATCCTTCTAGCTTTTTTGGATCTGGGTTTTTTTAATCTGTGTAGTTATTTTTAAGAATTCTTGTGCAGCATGATATCTTTAGTTATTGTGTTGCTTTCCAGTAAGGCTTTTATTTTGTAGAATAATTCCTACCTAATGTTTGACTAACTTTCACAGAATCTCAAAAGAAATCTTATTGTACACCATGGAGTTCAGCTTCTCAAAAATACATGATCCCCATGCTGTTCACATTAAGCATCAAGGAATTTCCAGCTAGCTCGACTTTCGCTGTGGAGAATTTCTTTTCTAGGAAGATGGATGCCTTTACTTGTTGATTACTTCAGTACTCTTTATTTTACTTCTACAAATAAAAACTGGTGTGCTTTTTTAGAACTCATTTTCCTGGCTTATCTCATTAGACAACTCCTCCCTATGAGCTGCAGCTGTCTTAAATCATCTGTTCAGGAGAGTTTTTTTAGGGAGCGTGGGAGGAAAGAAAATATTGCTGATGACCATTCTCAGTTCTGTCATTTAACAATTTGTCTCTTGTGCGCATTAACCTTTTTTCTTTACGTGTTTTTTTTTCTTTTTTAAATTGTTATTTCCTTCTCTGTTGAATATTGATGGTTTTGTTCAGTGTGACATGAACTGAGTAGGGTTTGTCTTTAGATCTTCATGTTGTCAAGAGATGTCAGAGTAGCATGCACTCTGCTGGGATCAGAAGGTAATAGCAATGCAGCAGAGTTTCTTGGTTTATCTGTTCTAAAAAGCTTTTCTGGAGGGCTTTTTGTGGCAAACTCCAGTGTATGACACCACTGCAAAGCTGTGTGACTTCATCAGAGTCACTGTATTATTTACTTATTATATTTATTTAGCTTTTTCTTGTAGACAGTGGGTATTAAAGCTTTCCTTTGCAGCTCATAGTGTTCCAAAAGCATTGTTCTTTGCCACTGTGCATTGCCTGGGTGAACTGCTGTTCTAAGAGCAATGCAGATTGAAAGATGATGTGCAGACAATGGAATAATCTTGGTGGACCTATCCCATACATCATTGTTTTCATGTTTTGTAAGCTGTTGATGGAGTTGGAAATTATTTGGACTTGAGGTCTGTTGATTGTCTGACATTTACAGTTTGACCAGTTACTGAAATTTGAGTATTTCCTGGGAGATTCCTCCGTCATATTGTTGATTTGGTAATATTGTTCCTCTGGCTTTCAGACGCCCTTCCCAGATAGGACCTAAATCTTCAAGGTGTAAAGACTATATCTTCATAAATCTTTTTTGCTTTATTATATACAGCAAGAGATGAAGGGAAAGAATTTGAAGGCTAGTTTTTCTCTATATGTGTAGTGTGCCTAGGGCATGTGTACAAGGGAAGAGTTGGATACTTTCAAAGTAATCTTTGGCTGCAGAAAAGTCAAAGTGGGGCCTTGATAATGAAAGCAGGTAACAAAGGCTGTGTAAGAAGAAAGATTTGTCTCTCAGATCTAGTATTTTTGGGATTTAAAGCTTTTACTTCATCTGAGTGATCGAAGTAAAAGCTGCCTTCCTTATCAGTCTCTTATTTTTTTAGGTTTCCATGAAGATAAACAACTGAAATGTGGATAGCTTATTTGTAGTTTGGTGTTGGTTGTCATCTGGAACCTGCTGGTGTCTCCTCTCAGTAGTAGGCGTGGTGTTGGCAGCTGAGAGCCATGAAGGTTGTCCCAGAGAAGAATGCTGTCCGCATCCTGTGGGGTAGGGAACGGGGTACCCAAGCCTTGGGTGCTCAGCGGCTTCTGCAGGAGCTGGTGGAAGATAAAACTCGATGGATGAAATGGGAAGGCAAGGTAAGGTTGTGGGATAGAGCTGCATAGCTTGATCGTGGAGTGGGGGAAGGGAGGCAGGGATTTGAAATAAATTGTCTTGTGATTGTACCTTTGATGTGTTACACTTGATATGCTCTCTGGCTCTGTCCAGTTCCTGCAGTGATGTGATACTAGATACGTTCCTGCAGCGGGTTCCCCTTGTTGTCTGTGTGGCTTACAGTTAAAGTATGATCATATGACTCTTGCAACACTTCCTGCTTTGTTGGCTTTTTCAGAAAGTTGAGTTACCAGACAGTCCACGCTCCACCTTCTTGCTGGCGTTTAGTCCAGACAGGTAATTAACTCCTAGTTCATTCCCTGTTTCAGCAGTCTCCCTACACTTACAAAAGTGATGGAGGCTCGTGCCTATTGAGTTGTCCAGTCCTGAACAGCCGAATGAAACTTCTGGTTCCTGACACTCATGGATGGAATGTGTGCACCTTCCTAATCTCACAGCTTCGAGCATAGTTGGTGTTTAATTTCTGAGGTACCCAGGTGATACAAAGTTTTAAGGAAAAAGGATCCGTGCAGACACCGTGGGATTTCATAAGAAACTAAAGGGAGTAAAAGATGATTTAATACAACATGCCCAAATGATGTGACACATTCACTGGGATATTTAGGCATAAAGAACAGAGCAGAATGATGTGTGTATTGGAAGCAGAAATGGAGGTGGGATCTCTCTTAGTATCACTTGATTTGACAGTGGTTGAGACGGTGTGGAGAATTGGGAGTACTTATTTGCCCCAGACTGTCACTCAGGAGTGCCTTCTGAGCTGCATGTTCACTCTGACGTTCAAGGTCAAGTTTGTGCTTGCAGATTCAGATGAGCTCATGTTTGCATGGACCCTGAAATCTGGCTACAGGAAGCTTTGTGACCATTGGTGAAACAGTGGCCTCTTAACCCTTTGAGCTCTGTGTGGGAGAGCTGCTGGGTTAGATGTGAACAGACCCTGTTGAGATGAAGCTGAGCATGGTCTGATTTTGCTGTATTCTTCTCATGCTAATGTTTGTCATACCTTCTGCATTCCCAGGACCCTAATGGCTTCCACACATGTGAACCACAACATCTACATCACAGAGGTGAAAACGGGCAAATGTGTTCATTCCTTGGTTGGACATCGTCGCACTCCCTGGTGTGTCACCTTCCATCCCACCATCCCAGGCCTCATTGCTTCAGGATGCCTAGATGGGGAGGTTAGAATTTGGGATTTACACGTAAGTCTTTCCTGAAACATATGTTCCTTTGATATTTGTTGGGTGGTGACTTTTTTTGGCTGAGTTTGTTTTCCAAATGTTACTGGTAAGAGAGCTGTTTGGAAGCTTTTCTGGGACCTGTGTCTAAAAGCATAGAACAGACCATAGCCATCCTCTTCTCTAGAGAGGAGATGACACATTCTTCATTCAGTCCTGCCAGGTAGGTCATGCTTCTTAACAGCACTTGTTCCATTGATTGCAGTGGTACATGTAATGCTGGAGAACTTTGTGCAAGGTGCCTGTTTAGCCTTTGTGAGAGACGTGCTGTTTGTTATTCCACTGAGCGTATCTGAACTGTTCATTAGAGAAGATGCTGCTCTACCTAGTTTGGTAAATGGCACAAAGACAAAACACATAGGCTTCTCTGGTGTTTTTGAAATGAAGCATTTTTGCAGGCTGCTTGAGACACACTTATCTACAAAAATACATCTGTGGTCATTGTTGCAAGTAGTGTTACACTTTAGACCTGGCACATGACTTTGTGTGGGAACAGCTGTTGTTGCCAAGACAGCACCTCACTTGCAATGCTCTTGGCTGCAAGTACATGGAAACTTAAATAAAAGCAAACTTTGATAAACTGCTTGTGGTTCTTGAATCCTCACTCTAGGGTGGAAGTGAGAGCTGGTTCACAGATAGCAACAATGCCATTGCATCACTTGCTTTTCACCCTACGGCTCAGCTCTTGTTGATTGCCACTGCCAATGAGATACATTTCTGGGACTGGAGTCGTCGGGAGCCTTTTGCAGTGGTGAAAACGGCCAGTGAGATGGAGCGGGTCAGGTGAGCTCCTGCTTCTGGGTGAAGAGAACACTTGTATGTGTAAAAGGATCAGATTTGGGAAGTGTGTGTGAGGTTCCTCTGGGATGCTGTACCCTCTGCACTCAGGCAGTGGAGAGAAGTGTTGCTTGCAGCTCCTTGACTCAGCTGGTAGAAAACCAATTCTGTGGACAGGAAGAAAACCAATTGAAAGTAATAGATCAGCTTGATTGTTCATATTTGTAATAGGGCATGTGTCCATTAAATGTCCAGAATTTACTTCATGTTGATTTGTAAGCTTAGTAATTAAACTTGTCAGGCATAAGGATGAGAAAACCCAGCAGTTGCTGGAACAGAATGCTGAGCTATTACTTTGGCACACTTGTACAGGAAACCGGATTGCTGGAAACCTGATGCCTGCTTTTGAGCAATTTAAAATAAGACAATGATGTGGCATCAAGGAACGTTAATCTCTCCCTTTGTACCCAATCAATTTTATAATATAAACACATGTATTCCTTAAAATTTTCTGGCTATTTCAATTGATACAGCAGTACTTCTTTCCAGCTTTTAACTTTGCTGTAGTGTTGCTGTGGACTATAAAATAACTGCAATCTTCATCTAGATAGGTACATTTGTTCTTCTTAATGCATAAACTTTTTGACATCCTTCATAAAAAGATGATGATAATGTAGTAATGTTCTCATTGCAAATATGTTGTGGGGTTTTCTTTCTTGCTGTCTGCAGCTTCCTGTGTCAATGTGGAATGTGAACTGATGATTGATATTCTGGCACTGCTTTTGTTTTAGGCTGGTACGGTTTGATCCCTTGGGACACTACTTGCTCACAGCGATAGTTAACCCTTCTAACCAGCAGGTAAGGGGAATGTCAGGACTTATATTGACTGGCTAATTACAAGGTGTTCTATGTGCTTTAGCCCTAGTCTGTTTCTAAATAGACTTGTGTTTTTGTGAAAACCTGCAATCTTCTAAAGCTGAGTTCTGTCTCACCTGGATTGGCCACATGAATGTTCTTGTGTTATGTGCATGGCTAATAAAGTGCTTTCCAATGTGTTTGTTTTACCCTCTCTGTCTGACTAATGGTGGGACAGAGGTCTCAGTGGTCCTGTTCTTTCAGTTCTGTTGTGATGTTCTTTTGGATTTGAAGCTGTCTGAGGTTTTAATAATTCTCCCCTCAGCTTCTGACCCTCAGACACTGATACTTCTGTTTGTATGAGCAGTGTATTGTGAAAGCACACAGGGCTGTAGGAAGAGGTTGTCTAGATCCATAAAATGAACTTAGAAATCATCTCAGCTGTTTCCTCCAAAGTCAAGGCCTTCAGGAAAGGACTTATCACATCCTTTTTTCTGTCTAGGCTGGTAGCTGACTTTCTGCTGTTTGTTTGGAAGTATAGGATTTTGCCTTAAGGTGCCTGAACTTTGTTTCCTTCTGCAGAGCGATGAGGAAGTGGAAATCTCCGTGGACAGCACAGAGATGCCGCATTATCGCCAGCGCGCTATCCTTCCATCTCAGCCTGTGAGGCGCACACCCCTCCTGCACAACTTCCTGCATATGTTGTCCTCCCGCTCCTCTGGCATACAGGTGGGAGAGCAAAACAGTGTTCAAGACTCTGCTACCCCATCCCCTCCACCGCCTCCACCACCACCACCTCCGCCTCCAGCCAGTGAGAACACAAGGGCATCTGTCTATAACAGGCTCCGGGAGCGAGTCAGCTATCCCACAGCAGAGTGCTGCCAGCACCTGGGGATGTTGTGCCTTTGCAGCCGATGCTCTAGTGCAAGACTTCCTTCTTCTCTCTTCCCACACCAGGAAAACGCACCCTCCACGTCTTCTGGGGCCACTGGCACTTCCTTCTCCTCTGTGCAGACAGAGCCTTATCAACCCCCAGAGCAGGCATCCGTAGCGCAGGAGGAGCAGGGGATACTTAACAGGCCCTCTGCTTTCAGCACAGTTCAGAGCAGCACTGCTGGCAACACCCTGCGCAACCTTAGCCTGGGTCCCACGCGGCGGTCCCTCAGCGGGTCCTTGGCAGGCCACCAGTCCCGGTACCAACAGTCTGCGAGAGAGATGGCTTCAGGCTTGGGTGGGTCTGACTGGTCCAGGACAGTGCTGAACATGAGCTCTCGGTCCGAGCTGGAAGCCATGCCTCCTCCTAGGACCAGTGCCTCCTCCGTGAGCTTGCTGTCCGTGCTCAGACAGCAGGAGGGAGGTTCCCAGGCATCAGTGTATACCTCTGCAACAGAAGGGAGGGGCTTTCTGGCCCCAGGGGCTGAGGTGAACAGTGGTAGTAGTGCTGGCCCGAGCAATCCGGCCAGCATTCGTAATGAGCTCCAGTGTGATTTGAGGCGATTCTTCCTGGAATATGACCGGCTTCAGGAGTTAGATCAGGGGATTGGTGGGGAGCCCAGCCAGTCGCAACAGGCTCAAGAAATGCTCAACAACAACATTGAGCCTGATCGACCGGGTCCCTCCCATCAGCAGACTCCACAAAGCAGTGAAAACAATTCCAATTTGTCCCGGGGTCACCTGAACCGCTGTCGTGCTTGTCATAACCTGCTGACCTTTAACAATGACACGCTGCGCTGGGAAAGAAGCACGCCTAGCTACACACCAGGGCAGGTCCAAAGCACATTTGAGGGTGTGCCTCCAAATACCAGCCAGGTGCAGCCTGCAGAGAGAACCGAGGGCAGAGCTCCTGCCTCTAGCAGACTGCAGCTGGGCAGCTCTTCCACCCCGCAGGAGGAGAGGACCGTGGGAGTGGTCTTTAACCAGGAGACGGGGCACTGGGAAAGAGTTTACAGCCAGTCGGCTTCAAGCAGACCTGGGAATGTATCACAGGAGGCCTTAAACCAGGAAATGCCTGAGGAAAGCTCAGAGGAGGATTCACTCAGGAGGTAAGATACATGCTTGCCTTTCCTCCTCTATTTTGTCTTAAACCTTTCCCACCTAGTCTTTTCAATATTTTCAGAGTTAAAAACCTTTTTCTCATAGGGCTGTATGCTATTCATGTAGATGAAAATAGATATGTTGGTATTGATGTGTTTATAGCTGCCATTGTCATGCTGCAGATGGGTTCTGAAGATTGTTAGGGCAGAGACTGGACCTCTCAATGCTAGTACAGACAGGCGAAAGGATGGGCTCTTGCAGCAGATCTCTGGGGTTAACTGTGCTCCTGGTGTTTCTGAGACTTTGCAGAAGCATGGAAACTCAGGATGCATTAATGCTGTTTTTTGTGCCTCCTATCACACCTACCCTATCACATGCTATGCATGGAGAATCCGCCCAGGATTGGCATGGAAAACTGGGCATGAGTAAGTTGTTAAATTAAAAAGGTTAACAATAATTTTCTCAGTGTTGCCCAGAGGGGGGAAAAAAGTCAAAGCTCTTTGTCAGTGGTTTGAGTATATGCAGTTGGTTTGCCCCTGATAAGAGAGGTAAGTTTTGAAAGTGGCTCCTGTTGACCTGACTGGGTTATTGATATACTGATCACTGGAAATTTTAGGCTTTGCTGTCTTCTTTTTGAAGAAGTTGATTTTTTTTTTTAAGGGTATTTTTCTTCTGCTTCAGGTATGATATAAGAAACTGGATAAGCTAAATTGAATTTGCATCAGGAGAGACCTGTCCTTTGTGTGAAAGTGTCTTCACTGGTTTGTGTGGATGATACAGCGACCTTGGTACTTTGGATAGGGTTGCCAGACTGGGTTCAGTTTCACATCTTCTCTGTCAAGTGGTTTGTGCTGTCAGCAGAGGAAAGGTTCAGTCTTGCTGTTTCTCTGAAACAGATGCTTTGAGCTGTATTAAAACAAAATTTCCAGGTTGGATGCAGATGTAACTAAGAAGGCTTTGTACACAGGAATGCCTGAGGAAAGGGAATTCTTTCCTCTGTCATGCAGATAAGCTGATTATACTGAGGCTGGAACAGTGGCTGCCTTTCTTGTTGCTGTAGTTGCATAGCAAATAAGTGGTGGTGGTCATAAAATTATTCATCTGTTTCTAAATCCTTGCCCTAGTTTTGTTTTTTTCTTAATAGCCTGCCATCATGAGAGTCTCAAGCTGATTACAGGGGAGCTACTTCTTGGGCCTGAATTTACCTACTGTTAATTTAAGTCAGATATCCTCTTGTCCCCTATTAAAGGGCATAAGAGTAAGAAGGAACTGACAAATTTAGCTTCAAAATGGCACTTGAGTAAATCTTGCGTTATCTTTCTTCTGAAATAGTGGTACATACTTATGTCATCATTGTGTCTCGTTTTCTGGGATGAGTCACTGTGGTGTCAGAAATAACGGGGCAAATAACCTTCTTATTGATCAGGCAGTTGGCACATATTTGGACAATGAGCTATAGTGGGCTATGTAGATATGATCTTTTCTGTGGTAACTGTATAATTTAAAAATGCCCTGAGGCATATAATTCAATCCACCTCAGCCTGCAGGAGTCAAACAAGGGGAATCTTGTGACTAAATCTCTGTGTCACTTTGCCTGTCATCCGTGGTGGTTGCTGCTGCCTGCTCCAGTGGCTGTAGCATTTGTGAAGGGTTCCTTGCCTACCTGGTCACCTGAGCACACAGGTGCTTTTCGCTGAGACTTCTCATTTGGAGTGGGTAGTTCGATGCATGAGCTTAATTCCAGAGGAATTCCTGTGAGGTGAAACCTTTCTGGCAGAGGTCGTTGGGAATCTTTTCGGGACTCTTTTGTTTTCCCAATCTCCTGCTTCTGTTATCAGGCCTTTCTAAAGAACAGGCGCTGCAGGAATTTCTGCTTCCCTTCTGACTGAAGTTAAGGTTGTCTATAGAGTTCTGAGGTAAGAAGCTGGAAGCAGTGGGCAGTCTGATATTAAATGCTTGTGGCAATTTCCCTGAGCTAAAACTTCATTTCCTTTCTTGTTAAACACATCGGGTGGGCTTGGGGTTTTATGAAATCTTTTCCCTTAAAAGGAATCCTGCATGCAGGATAGCTCTATACTGCAGGTGTAATTTTCAGCCATTCTCAAATTAGCTGTTTATATTTTTCTTTATAGAACATGAGAGGTTAACTCAGTTGGCTTAGAGCATGGTGCTAATAGCACCAAGGGTTGTGGGTTCAATCCTCATACAGGCCGTTTACTTAAGAATTGGGCTTGATCATCCTTGTGGATCTCTTCTAACTCATAATATCCTGTGAATCTATTAACAAGTCAGCAAGCACCCACTTACCTAAATTTTACATAGAGTGAACATCTCACACCAAACCTTCATGTTTCCTGGACCTAGGGTGTGCTTTCACAATGGGAAGTGCTAGAACCACTTCTGCACGGCAGAGTCCAAAATGTCTGTTAACCTTTGGAGCTACAGAAGCATGCAAGGGTGGGTTCTGAGGGTCCTGAGATATAAGCTATGTAATGCTGAAGGTGCTGATGAAATACAAGGGGAAGGATAAGCCTTCAAACCTGAGGGTAAAAGTGGTAACTGCATACACACTTCCAATCGGTGTCATTTTGTTCCTATCAGCCTCTGGTTAATTCTTAGTGTTGGAATCCAAGATGTGCTCATAATGTGCTTTGTAATTCTGTTCTTCTTTGTCTCTCCATTAGATGTCCTCATTGGGCAATTGAGCTCTATATTCTAAGGTCAGCTGAAAAACGTAAGATAAAATTTGTATTGGGAAACTGTGTATGTTCTCATTCGCTGTCCATGGGCAGGATTCATTCCCTGACATGGCTTTTCTAGTTGAGAAGTAGCTTTCTGGGAAAACATTTCCATTGAGGGTCAATTAAGTTACTTACAGGGTAGTTTAGTAAAGGCTGTTCTTTGAATTCTGTTGATGCAACTAAGTCAGCTGGGTAATTCTGCTCTTGCTCTGCTGAGAGAATTGAGCTCTTTCTGATGGTTCCTAGGCTAATTACCTTGGACTAATCACAAATTATTAATAAGCATGTAATGACACTATTCCTAACTAACAGCTCTGGCACCTCTGTTAGGAGAAGCATGTCATTGGGAGCCTCAGCAACACAAGGAGTCCAGTCCCATTCAGTTTGGCCTGAAAGCAGTGTGGCATTGAGCTGTGTGCTTCAAGTTGTGCTGGTGAGGCATGAATTTGGGGAGAGTTTATGGTCTACATTAAGCAAAAGTTCGTGAGGCTGAGCTTCAGCTTTTCTGAGGTTCTCCAGGCTGACCTCGTTAATTCAAATGTAGGGGACTTTCCCCTGTGGGTGTCTTTGCCTCACTTCTAACATCAAAGTGAAAAGAATCTCAGCAATCTCTGAAGTTGCCATGTAAAATGTGCTGCATAAAATTGGTCATAGAAGCTGTTGGAAAGATGTGGATGAAGGAAGGATAACTGAGCAACAGATGATAGCTAATTTTAATTTTTAAATAACTACTTATTAATTTAAAAATGAGTTGAGGAGAATACAGTAATCTTAGTGAGGGAAAAGATCCTCTAAACACTTAAAGCCGTTGTTGCTTTGTGGGCCAATTCAGGTTGATAATGAAAAGTTGAGCAGGGATTGAAAGAAGATTCTTCTAGTCAGCTGCTTGAGAGGAGCTGGTGCCACCTTCTTAAGACAGTGGTACACATAATCTAGCAGCCATCTCTGCTGAAATAGGTATCAATTCAGCAGTTAATGCTAGGTATGGTGCAATACTGCCTAGTAAAACTGATCCAGATTTTCTCTTTGGCTATTTTAGTATGACACAAGTAACATATACAGAATTAGTGTGGGGATTTTAGAAAAAAAGGAAAATAATTCGGTTATAAATTTATTTTTGTTTCTGAGTTCTGGCATGGCACCCCAGGCCAGAGTATTTCTGGAATGGATGCAAGGAGCAAGTAGTGATGTGTGTCCCTGCTAACAGATTTCAAACCTTATTCAGTGAAACAATTCCTATAGATAGGGAAAAGAAGGAAGAGGAAAATTGTCCTCTACAGATTTAGCTGCTTCTAATACATGAGGGGGACAATTTTTATATCGTTTACTGGTTTTTTTATCTAGAAATTTGAGTACATTATTGCAAATGAAAGGTGTGTTCTGTTCTATTGCCAGGCAGGCTTGTATGAAACTTATGTTTCACAAGGAAATGCTTATAATCCTTATTCTTCTATGAAGAAGCTTTGTCTGTTGATCATGTTAAACTTCTCTAACCACTCCACTTCACTCATTCCAGAGGCCAAATTCTGTAGGCTGTGGTATGAGTAACTCAGTGCCTGCATTTTATGAATGCATGATGCTTTCATCTTGTGTCACCTATTTAGTTTGACAGACAAGATACATTGTCGAAGTTACATGAAAATCTGAGAAGTCTTTTGAACCATCCTGGGTGACACTTTTGTCATGCATATAGGCAGAAAGGAGTGAGTGTGTGTGGAGTGGGGAAATTCTTGTCTGGGAACCCTTGCATAAACTCCTTTATTTTGTTTGTGAGTGTATGAAAGGCAGAGTCCACTGTGCTGAGCAAATATTTGACCTGTTGAAGTTGGCAGAGCTTACCAAAGGCTTTGCTGTGTTATAGTCTGTTGGATGCACTGTGCCCAAGTGACACATGAAACCATCTTCCCATGTAACAAGGTCCAGGGACAAATCTGTGTCTTTCATTTTGTCAGGTCTCATTTGAGGACTCTGGTCCCGCCTGCCTTGTCCTTGCTATGAGATGTGAACCCGGTCACATGGAGTGCAGTTACTCCAGCTCATCTCGTTTCTCTTCAGTGTTGGCCTTTCTGGCCGCACACGACTCTGCTGACAGCAGCTGTGAAACCAAACACTTAGTCTGTTCCCCTTTGGATTTCTCAGACCTTATTTCCATATTGCTTTGCTGCCACAAGGGGGTAATGTTGCTTCTGCTCCATTCTGGCTCCTTTCCGAACCTGAAAGTTTCAGAGTTTAAATGAAGGGTAGCTTGAGGACCCTCCCCACTCCCG